GTTGGGGACAGACGTGCTGCACCCAGGAGCCGGGCCAGCGGGGGAGCCCGTGTGGGGCTGAGGTCCCCACGCAGCCTCAGTTTCCCCACCTGTGAAATGGGAAGGAATGGGTCCAGCCGGGGACCCAGACCTCCAGACCCAAGCAGGACGCTGCCCGTGTCCCCAACCTGCAGACACCCCGGGAAGACCCCGCGCTGCCCAGTCTGCGGCCCCCCGTGGACCCCCTGGCCCTTCGCCCCGCCCAACATCCAGGGGGGGGGGCTTTCTATATGCACCGACCTCCTGTCCCCACGGGGCCTGTCCCCAGGCCTGCCACCCCCTTCCCACCCAGGGCCAGGCACAGCAGAAGAGGACAGAGTCCTGGACAATCCAGGGACACAGGCCAGCGCAGGCTCCCAGACACCCTGCCCCCCACCCACAGGCATGGGACGGGGCCGACTCGGATGACCGGGACAGGTGGCCCCCAACAGCTGCGGCCAGGGGCACGCGAGGCCAGCTGTCCCTCCACCTGCCCCGCACGGGTCACCCCTGCCCCTTCACACACACACGGGCAGGTCCCGGGGAGGCAGGGCCCCCGCAGAGGGACACAGCGGGAGGCAGCACCCGAAGTAGACAAGACGCTAGGGACAGTCACATCACACTGTGTCCTGAAGAGCCCCCACGTCCAGGCCCAGCCAGGTCTGAGTGCATACGTGTCACGGGGACCCCGGGTGCAAACCAGGCCCCCCTGCTGCACGGGGGACACAGAATCTGTCCCCAAAGTAGGAGGAGCCGGCGCCCACCAGGAGGGCATTGCAGACGGTGGAGCGGGCACAGGGCCAGGGCGGCTGGCAGCACAGAGGGGCCCACGTGCCGCCGCCCACAGCTGTCCACTCCGGGGCCACCCACCTGGTGGCAGCCTGCTCTTGGGGCAGCTGGGCCCAGCCGTTCCCTGGCCACAGCAGCTGGGCCTCTGGCAGAGGTACCCTGGGCGTCCCCTGCCACCTCCAGCCAGGATCTCCTTAGTCTGGACACTTGTCCCCAAGGACCACTGGAATGGCCAGCAGCCCCTCCCCCACACCTGCAAGGACATGGCCCCCGGGACATGGCCACCAGACGGCACCAGGGCACGGGCCCCCCACCGGCCAGCTCAGGAAGGGACACAGCTCCCCCCACGGCTGGTGCCTGGGCGTCCAGTCCTGAGTCCCCTGTCCCACCTGTACCCTGGGGAGTCACCCCCAGGCTCCCCCGCAGGGAGAGGCCAGGAGCAGGCTGGGTCCCCATGTCCCCTGTGGACAGGGCACGTGCCACCACACGGTGTCCCTGATGGTCCCTATAGACAGCCAGGGAGCAGGCTCGCCCAGTGTCCCCAGGCTGGCCCCCCCCCCGTGGCCACCCAAGGCCTGGCCAACTGCTGCGGAGGGCAGGCGGGCAGCTGACGGCCTGGCCAGGTCAGCTGTCCATCCAGCCCAGAGGCAACAAAGGGCCCATTCTGCAGGCGGAGGGCAGGCGGGGGCGCCCAGGGGGACGTCTGGCCCGTCCAGGCTGAGAGCCAAGGCCGGCACGCGCCCTAGCTGCCCGGAGGCAGGGGGCTGCCCAGCTTGGCCCTGACCCGGGAGGGAAGATCCACCCCACCACGAGGACGGCCAGGGGCCCCGGGGCTGGGGCGGCCAGCTAGAGGACCGTCACCCACCGCCACACGTGCCCCCAGGAGGGGCTGCAGGAGGGGCGGGGGTCTCCTGCGCCATGTCCCCTTCCCTGTCACCAACCTGCGGCACCCCCCCTGGCTGAGGGCAGGTTCCAGGCCCCTTCCCGGGTCCCTGCCATTCTGCCAGGCCAGGAGGAGGGTGACCCTGGGAAAGCACTTGGTGACTTCCTCTAGGCAGGAGGCCTCGTGGCTGTGACGGGGCCAGACGCACCTGGCAGGGGACAGGGGACCCAGAACCCTGCGTTTCCCACCCAAACCTTTTTTTTGTTGGGGAGAAGTACGGACCAAGCAGGTCAGGGCCCAGCAGGTGGTGGACAGCCAGGGCTGCCGCAGACCAGCCCCAGCCTGCCCCGGCAGTGACCTCTCGGCAAGCAGGGGACCACTCTGACCCTCGGTCTCCTCACCGCCACCAGCCGTCTCACAGGAGAGTGTGCGGATTCAGGAGCTCACAGCTCCACGGGGTGGGGCAGAGGGACACAGCGGGCACAGACCCCTCGGGCTTCAGTCACCCTGACCCAGGGCTTGGCTGGGGTCCCTGTCGGCCCTGCCCCTCCTAGCCTTCCCAGTAGCCCCAGCCCTCTGAGCTGCTCCAGCCTCCCCAGCCACCGCGGGCCCCGTCTGCCCAGGGAGGAGGGGACGGCCCAGTGTGGAAGCCACCTCTCCCGGGCTGTCGTGGGTCTGGAGGGGACTCTGCTGGCCACTGGGAGGCAGAAGCCCGCACACTCACGCTCACGCACCACCAGCTCCCGGGCTGAGCAGCCCTCGTCAGACCAACAGGGCCAAGGAGGGGACCTTCCCTGTCTCCTTGGTGGCCCACTGACCCAGAACAGTCACAGGCGGACACAGCTTTCCAGGAAGCACAGATGTCCAAGCCACTGCCCCAAAAGTGCAGGACCACAGCCCTGGCCACAGCAGGACACCCACAGCAACTGCGCATGGGAGCCGACAGCCGGGTCCCCTCCCTTCCCTACCAGTGACCACAAGCTGGACACAGCACACAGCCAACAGGGTCCCCACCTGGACCTCAAACCAGCAAGAGAGCCAGGTACAGTGCCCACGTCTGTCATCCCAGCGGCTCAGGAGGCTGAGGCAGGAGGATCGAAAGTTGGAGGCCGGCCTCAGCAGCTTAGTAAGTCCCTGAGCAACTCAGGGAGACTTTGTCTCTAAATAAAATGCAAAACAGGGATGGGGACGGGGTTCAGGGGTCGAGTGCCCCTGAGTCCAATCCTCAGTACCAAAAAAAACCCCAAAAACCAACACCCAGCAAGAGAGACGAGAATCAGACGACAGGTCACGAGGCCCGGGCGGCCCGGCAGAGACCTAGCAGGTGGTCCGACACATGCCCACCACAACCACACGTGAAGCTCAGTGCTGGGCCGCGCTGTCCCTGACCTGCAGGACACAAGACCTCGTCCACCTGGAGGCAGGGGACACGCTGGAGCGTGCAGCTGAAATGCACACGCGACGCAGACGGGCCTCTCATGGAGGCCGGGCACCGGGAGGCCCGGCCACGAGAATCCAGGCTCCACAGACGGAGGCCAGCCAGGGTGGTCCCTGGGTGCTGCTGTGTCCTCACGGGACACCCGACCGCAGGCCTCCATGTGCCCTTGTGGACTCACCACGGTGGGGCACGGGGACTCTCTTGGGGACATGGGGACCCTCCTGCAGCAGGGCTTCCAGAGACGAGGGCCTCTGGAGGTGAGGAGGGGTTGCTTGTCCCCAGACCCCGAGCAGCACACAGTAGGCGCTCTGCAGGGACGCGTGTGACGAAGCAGAGCCATTGCAAAGGGAGAAGGGTCAGGCAGGGGTTGAGGCCGGAGCCCAGAGGGGAGGCTGAGGCAGGAGGATCTCACGTCCTGCCAGCACCAGGACGCACAGGAAGGGCCCTCCCCCAGGTGTGGGCCACCGGGGTGCAGGAGCTGGCCCCTGACACTCTGCCCATCACAGGCCAGCTGCCAGTGATCACAGTCAAGAGACCTCAGAGCCCAGCGACACAGATCGTCCTGAAAAACCGGACGCGCAGGTGACGGGCACATCATCAGGCCTGGCACGGTGACCAGAGAGGGCAGGGCGGCGCCTCCGACGGGCCCAGTCCTCTGGGTCCCGCTGCAGCCGCGTGAGGCCGGCCCGGGGTGCCCCTTGGTTGCCCAGCGACAGGGCGGGGACTGTCCCCTTCTGCACTGCAGACGGGGGAACCCGGGCCACAGGAGGCCGGGCCCTGAGGTCCCTGCCAGGG